CCCCGGCGCGGAGAGCACGCCTGCCCGGACGGCACCCGGCCGGCCAGCCCCAGCGCTGCTCCCTCCTCTCACAGCCGCGAATGTGACTGGAAAGCACGGCTGAAAAACATGCTACAATTAACAGGAGGGAGGGAGATACTATTGCTCTCCTGCTAGTCTTAAAGGCACATTGCTCACATGTGCCGGTTGGAGATGCGAACGCCCACAGCTCCAGCCCCAGCGTCTCACCCGAGTGCAGGCAGCCGAGCAGCCCAGGCAGGAGCCCTGCCCCTGCCAGGGCAAGGAGAGCACCCCGGGAGCCAGGAAGGGACAGGGCAGCCAGCAGGAGAGCCCCCTACATCAGGGTCGGGGAGTGAGGCCTCCCACATCTCCACCACTGTCCCAGGAGCCAAATCAGGTCCCTGTCCCCCAGCCTCAGTGCTTACCGCCATCGCTGGCCCCTCCGCCAGCATCCCAGCCAGACGTAGGGCAGCCTGGCCACTGCCACACCACATCCCGCACACAGCCCCAGACATCTCCCCAGGCAAGGAGGGCCCGGCACACCGTGGGGGCTAGTGGCACTGCTCCTGCCGGGGATGCCGGACTACAGCAGCAGCAGGTGCAGTTTTGCACCCTGATGTTACCCAGAAGGGATATCCCTTCTGCAACTCTTCTCAGCCAGGAGCTGTGAGACACTGAAATCCAATGTGCCACACGTGCTAAAGCTGTGACGAATTCAGCAGGTCTCAGACTGGCTGTAGTACCAGATGCTACAGCCACCTCCCTCCTGCCACAGGGCTGCAGCCACCGGGCTCTGCACCAGCTGAAAGCCACATATCCTCTCTTTGTCTCACCCAATACCCTCTTCTGTGTGTCTTGAGATATTCTGGCTGGTCCTTCAGCATGTCACAGCTTGGATTCAGCAAGAGCAACGTCGGTAACTCCAGTTTATCAAGCTTTTCCCTCCCCTGCCCCCCCCTCCCTCCCCCAAGCTAGCATCTGAAACACCTTCTAGAAGTCTGTGAAGCCTGGAATTTACCCTATTAAAAATCTCTACTTTTTTTTCTCAGTAGCTGTAGTTGCCATACACAACATGCTTTTTTGAGCAGGGAGTTGCGTGAAGCCCTAGACCTTGTTAAACTGCTCCGTGTCACACAGCCTCACGTTAACACCTTTGATTCTCAAAGCCCTCTGGAGACACCAAAATTATCCTGATCGATACCTGCCTCCACCACTGTGAGGGAAGCTATTTGCAGCACGGGCACTGACAAAATGCAAACGCAAAGCACGCAATGACAAAACGAATTACTATGGTGAACGAGCTGTAAGTTAAGCACAGTTTAACTGCAGGTTTTCCTGAAAAAAATAGCGTGAAAGAAAAGATACAGAGTTTATACCGTTAACAAAGAATTAGCGAGTAGTTACCACTGATGCAAAAGGGCATCACAGCGTAATAGATACCTGCTTTCCTGTAGTGCTAGTACAGAGGAGCTATTAAAATGGATCACCTGATGAGACAAGTGCAATACAAATTTCAGTGCTTCCAGGCCATGCAGCTTTCTGCAAAAATAACACAGTGAATTAGTTCAAATTTGTCTTTATGAAGCATCACACCTCTTAAAGTCTTTTTGACACCAGGCCTACACATGTATAAGTAGTGATCAAAATGCTAGCAGAGACACTTAAGGCTTTATACTCCTGAAGTTTTTCCCCTGAGTATCAAAGAACAGATTTGTTCTACAGAGCATGATTGAGGATTTCTCAAGAATAATGCTTCACGAACTCATATGATCAGTATGCAAACACAGCACAGTGACTACCATCACATCGCTACACGTATCTGTCTTGAAATATATCAGTCCCTGGCAACATACTCCATAGAAATATTCAGTGTACAGGCTTTACTATTTTTTTAAATTGTAAGACCTGGCTGATCAATCAAAATTAAATTCAGTGGAAGGGATTACCTATTAAATTCATAAATGTTGTTTTGAGGTATTCCATTCTGTGCAATAGAGTGGTTTGGTGAGAGAAACCTAGACTGGTAGGGTCACATCTTACTGTCAGCTACCAGATCTTTCACTGAGAATTATGCACATGTGTGTGAGGGTTGGAGTGGGCCACACTTAGATGCAGGGAGTACAATATCTCTTTCATTCAGGGCAATATGAGACTTCATTTTAAAAATTATTTGAGCCTAAGGAAGACATCACACCATGAAGTGTCCTACTATAGAAAGCAGAATCATCAAAGATGTCTACAAACAATTGCAAGACCCAAAATTCACATTGCAATTGTACTAAACTGTATGTTCCACAGAAATATATATTCCAGTTACAGTACACAGCTATTCACTGCAAAACAACCCTTCTCAGAGGCTTTAAAGGTATAATAAATAAATGTAAACCTAAAGAAGCACAGCCACCACTACAGTGCTTTTTAAAAAGAGAACCTTGGAAGTCAGAAAACTAACTACAACTGTTCAAAACTTCAAGAAACATATTCTAAACTCTATTCTTACCTGATACCCTAGGAATAATGTTGCAAACTGTAAAACCTTTTAAAACTCAAACCTCGCAGGTGGTGTATGTGTCCATGTGGAAGGATATGCTTAGCATGCAAAACAAGCAGCTATCCATGAGGCAGCAGGCACGTTCAAGAGCATCCAGCGTGCCAATCCTACTGGGACTGTGTAAGCAATAACAATAATAGTTTGAATGGCTACTTTGGGGGAAAACAAACAAACAAACAATCAAAACCCACACATAAACACACACACACACACACAAAAAAAAAAAAAAGAACAAAAAAGAAAAACAGGCAGGGACAGGAAACAGATGGAGGCCTGGCAGGATGAGGCTGTACCCAGTAACTCGCTTGTATGGGTCCTGCAAAATACTGTGGCTATCTCTGCCCATAAATCCTGAAATACTGATCTCAATGTTCTTCGTGCTACAAAATGAACCTGCCCTACTCCTAAAATTCAACGTCTAACCTCCCTTTATAATTAGTCTTCTGCTACACTGATATAGTGCATGAAGGCTAATCTATCTTCTAAGAAATAGTTTGTCCATTTTTAGGGAATCTGCAGTTACCGAGTTGCACATGATTGTAATTGGTTTGTAACAGGTAAGTAAATGATTCATACATCTATTGCCAGCACATCCTTCAGGTGATGTGTAAGAAAATCCTTAAAAGTGTGAGGAATGGGCTTCTGTACTGAAAATCAATGTCAGCACAATCATTTCAGACTTCTGGAGGGTGATGGAGGGTGACTGGAGCTTCACTTGTGCACATCAGGCACTGAAGTGATTGTGTAGGGCCACCACGTACCCTGCCATGGGCAAACACCTGAACTCCTGCTTATAACAACAGAAAAGCAGCACTGGAAGGAGCCAGAATGCCCTGTGTAAGCAGCAGGCAGGGAGACTGTCTGTCCTGAGCCTTGCATCCACTTTTGAAACAAGCAGTAAGAGATGTATTCAGTTTAGTGAATAGCTCCTGTACAGATCATGAACTGAAAATTTCCTCCAAGAAAAAAAGCTTGCTAAATGGTGAGATGATTCCATATAGCTAACCTTCTCTTAGAAATACATTTCTTACACATGCTCAAAACCCGTAAAGAGTGACGTCCAATTCTGTACTCCCTACAAGCTCTTAGCTACAAATAAATAAAAGACATTCTGGGTTATGCCAAGCTTTTCACCCCAGGGTCCCCTGCATTTACTTGTCTCTAGGCTGCCTAAGAGAGCAGCTTCCAAACATTTTTATTCTTTGATTCTGATCATTCTTCAGTTTTTCTCATTGACCCCTACCAGTAACCAGATACTGAGCACTTAGTATAACCCCATAGATGTCTACAGTTTGGAAACGCTGGGGGGATTCCGTCCAGAAGAGCAGGCTGGAGAGAGAGTTCAGGTGCAATAGCAGATAACACAGTGCAGAGGCTGGGAAGTAATGGCACTGAACTTTAAAGTGCAGCTTTCTTGGAAACTAATTCCCAACAAAGCTAACAAAAGGAGCAACTAAAGCATATATATTTTTGAATACTTTCACACATATTAGCATGGTGAGTCGACAGTCCTGAGGTTTATCTACATTGAGAAAACTCCAGAACTTCAAAAAAGTCATTAGCATCCAAGCCACACTGCCAGGCTACGGCTGAGACATCACAGGACCAGTCTGCAGTGTTTACCCAAGGAAATGCATGTGGATCAGAATGGGAGTTTACAGGAGGAAAAAGCTAGGGACAAGACCTAAATGCCCTTTTGATATTTGCAAGACAAAAAATGACCTTGTGACGTGGACTGTTTAGAAGCAGATATAACTGTTTATGTATCTTTAAAATGTCAGCATTGCATTGCCATTTAAAAAAAAAAATTAAAAAACAGTATTTATGCTGTGCTTGAAAAGATTCTGTTCTATTTAGAAATTACAATTTCCCAGCCCTCCTTGTATCTGTGATTTAGAAATTGAAGTATTTGAACTGTGAGAAGGATTTGCAGAATTCAATGAATATGTTGGCACAGAGTCAAAAGAGCATGTTTGGGCAACCGGGGGATTAGAAAGTCCCCCCAAGCTGCCTTTAAAAAGTTTGCTGGTTTCACCTTTATCGAGGCTTCCTTCCTGAACTATTTTTGAGAAGTCAGTCTAGATTTCTCTGAAATTTTCCAATGTATTTTAAAAGTGAAATATTAAAATCGGACCACAGGAATAATTCATCAGACAATAATCTACATACTGAATGCCCTGTGGAGTCAGAGCCATCTGGGCTGAACCCTATAGCCATAACCACCTATGGTGTCTACAAGCACAAATCAATCTATCTCAAAATTAAGTTCTCAAAGAAGGAAAGACATCATTCATCAGTTGAGGGGCACGATTCTGACTGGTCATGCTTCTTCCTGGTTCAGTGACGAAACAGAGGTAGTATCTATGAATAAAAAAAACCCAAAAGGCCCCAAA